TGGAGAAACCTGAAATAGGACTGACTTCTCCTAAAAACCCAGCAGAAGATGTGAAGAGATGGTAGGTCTGGGTAATAGGAATGTCCCTCCTGAGAACATCCAGCCCCAGGCAGCTTGTTGCTAGGCAGAGGCACAAAGGATACATTATACACTCCAAAGAGGAGCCTGTACATTTGATTTTAAGAAAAGAGCTGAATTTTTGCCAAGATTTACATATTTAGGTTTTTTGTGCATGGCGTTTGATATTAATTTTAAAAGCAGTCCATAATTTGCCCTGCTGACTGTTGTGTTTTAACTGTGGCACAATTCTAACACCTCTCATTACATTTTTTCACCTCTGCAATTAACTTATGTAAAATCAGGGTTGCTGGGTTTTTAAAATTTTTTTGAAGAAGATTGCCTAGAGTACGATTACTGTGCAATGGCTTTTTCCAGTGCTCTTGTTCATTCTCTTACACAGTTAAGCATGTGTTCTTAAAATGCAATAGTGGTAATATCATGCAGCTGCAATTTCATTATGGAAACATCATCTTCAGGGGATGATGGGACTTCAGGGACACAACATAATACAGGTTTCCACAAAAGCATCTTGAGGTTATTTTACCAGCATGATTATGTCTCTCTAGGCATGCCTTGAGACTTCTGCAATGCTCTTGGACTGAATGCAGAATAATAAAAGCTGAAAAGTAGCTCTTCCTTAAGCTTTTAAGCAATTTGACTGCCTTTTTGGAGTTTTTAATAGCTGGGAGGTTTAAAGTGCTGCAGGAGTTAATCAATACATGTATCTATTTTTATATATCTGCATTTACACACATCAGACAACATCTTGTGTATGTGGGTGCTCATGTAAGTCCTGTTGGAGTACATCTATTCAGTGATCAGATATCAACGGATTTCTTTTTCTTTCACTTTTCTCAGCAAAAGACAGGCATCATAGAACCTTAAATCTGGCCTTACCTGTTGGCCTTACTACTCCATTACTGCCCTGAGCAGCCTGTTCCAATACTTTACCACTTTTTCAGTAAAGAAATGTCAAGTTTTGCTTTTCTTTTCCATTGCTGGGAAGCTGGGCAAAACCGTAATCTAAACCATGCTGCTGCTGTGTCCTTGTGCACATCTGGAATGACCTTGCCCCTTACAATCTTGGCAAGACATTGCTGATAACTCAGGCTCAAACCACTTCTGTGATGGAACACACAGTGTGCTGTGACATACTGAGCTTCCAGTAATCTTGTACAGGTACAGGTGAGCATACTGGGGGTGGAAACGGCCTTTTCAAATCTCTTTGAATTGGAAGTACCTCCCCTGGCTGCTGTCTGAGATTACCGGCACACCCAACATTGCTGGGGCACGTGGTTGTTCACAGCGAGCCCAGCCTGATGTGGCTCATGCACCACTCAAGCATCAGCCATATGTACAACCAACTCCTGTTTGCCACCATCCCATAGGTCTGCATGTGTGGTTTGTCCAAGGTCCAGATGCTCTGCAGCTGCAGCAGCCATCTGGCACCTGGGGGAGTTGGAACACTCCATGCACCACCTGAGGATTTGTGCTTGGATTTGTATTTCTGGATGGAAGAATCTGAGGGATTCAAGGAGTCCCAAAGTGTCTGGAGTTTTTAATTATCACTTTTATTATCAGCCAAACAGTTAGATATATATGTTTAAGGTGTTTTTAAGGTGTTTTTTTAGTCTTCTCTAATGAGTCATGCTCTCAGTGAAACATGGTCTATAATTATGTTCTCCCTTGGTTTTCATAGTGTCTAAGCATTCCTTTATATTTGTCTAAAGCTTGTACTGTTTCTTCTGTCTCTTTTTAATTTTTATTTTGATTCTGTGACTAAGAGAAACAATTTAAAAACCATTCAAGTGTTACCCTTGATGATGTGCTTGTCAGACAACAGCTCATAACACTCTTGTAGGACTAGAATTATTGGGCATCTTCAAAGCTCAGCTGGCAGAAACCAAGCAAGAGAATTAGCCTGATCTGTGGGATAGAAGCAATCCCTTTCTGTGTTTGCCAGAACAGAATAAAAAGGACCATTGTTGGTGTGAGGGAAGGATCCTCCACCGGGGCCCTGGCCGCTGGCCTGCATTGTGAGACGTGGATTATCCACCACTGGAGGTCTACTAAGAACAGGCTGGAACAACATGTAACTTGGCAGGAGTGGTGCATGCTTTGAGGAGCCTGCCTCAGAGCATCGGGCTGGGCTGGGTGACCTCTCTACAGTGCTGTTTTATCCCTGATACTCCAATGGAGTTGTCTTTTTTCCTCTTGACAGGCAATACAAATGTAAATGCCTGTGTGTAGCTAAGCAACAACTCTGTCTAGTTCTGAAGTTTTGCCCCCAAAGTAATTTTTTCTATCTTTGTCTGTGAGAAAATAGAGAAGTGGAGGTTCAGACCCCAGGGGAAGGATGCAGAGATGGAGAGGAGCATGCAGCTCCAGTGGGACCATGAAGAGGGAAAGCCCATGAGCTGTTCCCATAGCACTGCACTCCAAAGGGCCCCACACACAACACTCAGAACATGGAGAGCAGATGGACAGCTCTGTCAAGGGGGCTTAGAATGCAGGATGCACACAGAGAAGACAAAGATACACAGATGGGTTCCAGGAGGGTACTCCAAAATCTGCTTAAATTCCTTTTGAATCTGTCATTTAAAAACTTTAGGAGTTGAACCAGATCTGGAAAATTCATGCCTCTAGGAAAATCTGCTGCAATTCTTTAAATCTACCCCATGCCTTTGTAACCTTTTGAGTTTGCAAAAAAAGGTGTAATGTATTTGGTTTTAAGAAATTATAAGAAGAAACGTATTTAAATTGGCTGTAATTCAATGGAAGGCCTTTTGGATTCTTAGAATGATGTATCCAGGTAAAGCTGGATGGGGCCTTAATTTGCTTGGAAAATGCAACCATCCTGAAGTGGTGGATGTTGTGCTGTTAATAACAGTGGGTTGTTTTAATATGTTCTGACTGACAGGGATGAACACTGTTAAGTTATGATGCATCAGTATTAATGACCCAAGAGCTTTTTCTTTTACTTTTAAAATTTTTTCTTCTGTTTTTCTCCAAGCAAATGTATCTCATCCAGTCCTCGGCTGAGCAAGGTGGGAATGTAGCAAAATCACTCCTCTCTTTGTCCCTTCTGAGGCAATTTAACACCCAAAAGGTGTTTAAGCAATATTCAGCTAGTAACTATCCAACAGGGGTTTTATCCAGAAGTTATCACATTTCATTATTTGAATCATTCAGAGTACTCTGGAAATGTCGCAGCATTCAGTGAAAACCCTGACAGCTCTTTCGATCCTTCCTAGGGCGTCCTATTATTGTTAAAAACATATCCAGTAAAAATAATGTGATGAAAACAGGCAGAAACCCTCTCCATCTCTCTTGATCTAGTCTAAATTTAGCAAGAAACCCTTGCTTAGTTTTGAATAAAGACAACTTTGCTTTACTATCTTGTGCATACTAATACAGTCTTCTTTTAATGATAAAGAAGGCAATATTCTTAAAATTTACTTTATCATCATTAAGCTGGTTAGTGCCATGATACTTGGCTTGGTTTTACTTGGTTTACAGCTGTGACAAATAAAATCACAGAATGGTTTAGGTTGGAAAGGGCCTTAAAGCCCTTCCCCTTTTAAAGCCTTTCCCAACCCATACCTTCATTTTACCTCAACAGTCACAAAATTTGGCAGCCACTACCATCAAACCTTGATTTTTTTACATATTTGCATTTAGATATTTTTTACTGTTATATTTTTAAATAAGGTTTACCAGGTCTATCTCAGATTCTGTGTATCTCAGCTGCCAGAAAAGGTAAGGGAGTTGAGGTATTAACTACTGCTGCCACTCTACACATGCAGCACCCCCAACCTGATGTGCACATCTTATCCACCTGTTTCATGTCTTGCCTTCAGAACATGTTGAAGGGAATGTGCAGGTAGAGGAAGCACAGCTCACTGAAATGAGCCTCAAGCCAGGCTTCCCTCACAGCTTGGCTGTGATATATAACTGACATTGCCTGGTCCATTACCTCTTGCTATTGAGTTGTCTTCCTTTGAAGAAACTTGTTTGTATTGAAGAAGGAAGGTCTGAGCAAATAGGAGTTAGGAATGCAGTTGCATGGCAGTGAAGCCTTAATGAAAATGCACAACAAGCTGGAGAACTGCTGAAAGCAGAAGGCTTTTGAAAGTATGGTGCACTATATACTTTATTTGTGTTATTGGCATCAGAAAGTGGTTTTGGACGGTGTGAGTCTTCATCCAGCTACAGCAGAAAACAGCACCTCTCTGCAGTTGCACTCAAACTGCCTCTGTTTGGTAAGGTATGTCCTCTCTGACAGCAGAAATAATGACCCAGTAAAAAAAACTTGACCAAAGGTTTTTTTAACTCCCCATTAGTGTTTCCCTGCTGGTTTTCCTTATTTTCCTGTATCTGAAGCTGTTTCTATCTGTTGTTGTGTTCATTAACTTCAGCTCCAGAATGAGCAGCTGGAATCAGCATGTTTCCCTATAAACTGATGAAACCTGGAAGAAAGATTGCAAGACCCTGATGCGTCTTCCCATAGCTGCTGGTTCATGATGGTGAGGAACCAGTTAGTGACCCAGGGTGAGAGCCTGCTTCAAACAGGCAGCTGCTGCTCGCTGTGCTGAGTCTGGACCAGTGAGGCATACATCCATTGCAGCACTGGCAGGAATGTCTGTAGCATTTCCTTTCTGTTGTTTCCTGGTTAGAAACCGCACATTATTTCACCAGTGCATATGTATGGCAGTGTGGGTTATCCTACTTATTTTATTATAGCAGTTAAGGTCTTAGGTTTCTCAAAATACTGTTTGTTTTAACAAGGAAATGCCTCTGCTGTTTGGCTGGGAGCTTCCTCTGTGCAGCGTGTTTCCAGCAGATAAGGTGTTTGAACCACTCAAGTGTAAAATGTGAAGAAAAACCATCTAACAAACAGGGAAGGTGCCTTTGTTGAGTTCCAGCTGGTCGTGTGGATGGTAGAACCTGAGCAAAGGGAATCTCTGGTGGGGAGCTCTTGTCGCCAGGTAAGGTTAAGGTGGAGCTGTGCCAGCTGCTGCGGAGAGCCCCTGCTGCTGCCCAGTCTGTGCAACACATGGAGGGACAGAATCACAGAATCACTAAGGCTGGAAAGGCCACCTAAGATTGAGTCCAACTGTTATTCCAGCCCTGTTCATCACTAACCCACATCTCTAATCCATTCTTCCAACATTCTAAGCTACTCTGTTTCTGTCAGCTGTCTCTTGCACAGATTTACTCACCAGGGTCACTCATATGGGGGAGTTCTGCACCACGAGCCTGTTTCTGTGCTTTGCCAGGGGAAGGCATTAGGCAGGAGTTGGTCAATTCCTGTGTCTGAAACTGACTGTGTATTTCAAAGTCACAGTAATTAACTCTGCCATAGGAGCTGATCTGCTGAACTGTTCTCCCAGCTAACATCTGAAATGTGTTTAATGAAAATTCCAGAGCCTAATGGGTCTTGTCTAAAAGACCTACTTCCAATGACTTTATTTATTCCAGTAAATCTATGTTTATGAGAGTGCTCAGGTAATCTCCTGGGGTTTATATCACATCCACTGTAGATTAATTTCAGGCTGTTGGATTTGTTCTAAACAATTTTCATAATGAAAGTGAGGTCTCATTTATTTTTATTTACTTTGTAATTAATGTCAGCTACATATTAGATACTTGGAAAAATGTTGATCAAAGGCCTGGGGTGATAAATTGGGCAGAAGTCTCCCCAAAACAAACGGCCAGCACAATCTGGAGAATGTTCTTGAGATTTCAGTGGTTTAAAGAAGGTGACCTGTATGATTATTATTAAATATTTCTGTTTCCATTGTGGGGGTCAAAACCAGTTTCCAGAAAAAAATGGGATATAATGAATTAACTCATCAAAGTACATCTAGGTCTGTTCTGTAAGGAAGTTTAGCTGTTAATTTATTCAGATCAAGTCACCTACCTCCAGCTGTCTTAAAACACATTCAGAAGAAGGGGAATGTTCATTCTAGCAAAAATAGTACACTCCAAAACTATAAAATTAAGAGTGGGTAGTAATTATTCTCATCTCTGGAATAGAAGAAACTGCAGAAGGCGTTAGAGCAAAGAGGGCAAGGAATTAAATGCGGATGACTCATATCACAGCTTTCAAGGAGAAATTTCGTTTAATAGATAAAACCTGAAGGCTTCAGATGAACATAACCAACCAAGCCGCAAAAAGGATAAAATTTACGGTTAATAAATACAACCCACAATAGACAAGAAACTTGAAGCATCTCTAGACATTGCAGAGATGAAATTAAAGGAAGCTGATCAGAGTGTGGCTGTGGCCATATCATAAAATGTGAGAAGATGGTTAATAATCTAGATAAATGCCACAGCAAATGTAACCACATCCTGTTTGAGGTCCACATCACAGCCTCACCTGCAGCACAACTTTCAATTCTGTTTGCGAAAGGATTTTTAAAATAAAAACTACTGAGAAAAGCAGGTAAGAGATAAGCCAGACAAATGGCAGGCAGGGAGTATACAGGCAAGAGGGGATGTGCTAAGAGATCTGAAGAGAAATCTCGCACTTCTGTCTACTTTGGTTGCAGAAGCAAGTGTTTTAAATCAAGAGACATCAAATCTGATGTATTGAAAAGGCAATACACAGTTTCACTGAGGAGCCACTTGTCCTCAGATGTTGCCTCTTTGCTGGACAAACATTAAGCACTAGAAAAGATGTAAAAAACCACCCCTAAAATTGCTTAAGATGGCAATGCATTTATTGCCATAAATGATTGCCATCTTCAGAAATCTACTTCTTAAATCCAGAGCAGGCCCCAGGGAACTGCAAATGTACCAAAGGTTTTCTAGGCACCATATGGTGGTTATGAAAAAACCTAACACAGGCCTATTTTTGAGTCAGCAGAATGGCAAAGAGGAGGGCTAAGCTTTGGAAAGCAGCATGTTCATGGTTATGAAACCCAAAGTGGTAGACAGGCTCAAGCCCTCGACACTTCAGCAACACTCAGTCTATATCGTTTTGCTAGGGGGACATTAATCAAGTGAGAAAATACTCTTGCTCCAGCCTGTGAACGAAGCAAGTGTCATGACAAAAGAAAAGCAAATAGAGCTATTTTAAGATATTGGAAGAGGCATTAAATGCAGTCATGTGCTCGCGGAAGGTTTAGCCTTGGCTGCTGTCTCTTGTCCTGGGTTGTGAGAACCATGGCGGCCCAGCCTTGCCCTGGGCAGGCTTTGCAGAGCTTGTGTCATCCTTGATAAAACAAAGCCTGATAGTGTACAACTACCAACAGAAATGCTGGCAAAGCATTTCAGAGAATGTTCATAAAAGCATGCTGATTGCCTTTAGGACATCTGCCTTGCATGAGGAGATTTCTGTTGCTGTGATCTCTTACCCCGTGTCAGAGAGACACCGTGTGATGATTTTTAAGAAATTCATTAGAAAGTGTCCAAAGGAGGGACACAGGATGGGGAAGGTGTGGAGGGGCCTTACAAAGAGTGGCTGAGGGCACTTGGTTTGCTCAGCTGGAGAAGGGAAGATTGAGGTCAGAGCTCGAGGGGCAGCTCCAACCTCTGCTCCCTGGGACAGGGACAGCACCCAGGGAACAGCTGGAGCTGGGCCAGGGCAGGGTTAGGGTGGACATCAGGGAAAGGTTCTTCCCCCAGAGGGTGCTGGGGCACTGAACAGACTCCCCTGGGTTTGGTCGTGTCCCCAAGGCTGCCAGAGCTCCAGGAGCATTTGGACAACACTCTCAGGGATAGCTGGTATGGGATTGTTGGGGTGTCTGTACAGGACCAGGGGCTGGACTTGATGGCCCCTTCCAGCTCAGGAGAATCCATGAGTCTGTGGTTTTACTGGTGCTGTTACTGTCCTTCTCCACGGCACTCCCAGAACTTCTGTTCCCTTCGTTGCTTTTCCAGCTCTGGAAGACCCCACAGCTGCCATGTTTGGGAAGGTGGAGTTATGTGTATATTCATATGTCACATTGGGAAAACACATTCCAGGCAGTGGTGGTTTCCTTGCTATGATGCAGCTCCAATGTCTACTGCACTAATTCTATTATATCCTTGATATAAACAACCTTAGGGATAAGCAGATGCATTTAAATAGGGCACATTTGAAACTGATCTTTTATTGTTTCGATATTTCTATTATTTAGTAATTAGATCAAATGGACCTGAACCTAATAACAGAATTTGGCACTGAATAGTTAATTCTGTAATATAATCTGCAAGATCACTGGAAAGAGCCAAATTCAGGGTTCCAGTGCAGAGGATAAAAGTTTATTTTTGCTCCCCTGTGGCTTAGATAAAGGATGTTCGATCTACTGATAGAGTTTCAATTACTTATTGAAGTTGGAGTCTATTGGTAAAACTAGAATAACACTTTAGAAAATGTAAATGCTTAAAAGAGTGAGCTTGAAAATTGCCTACTGAGGTATTACCCTAATGCCTTATAGAGTGCAATTCTGCCCCACAAAATGAAATAGAAAAAGATCCAGCTGTAATAGGATATTGCACAAAGGGGAGAACTGGGAATTTTGATTTAAAATAATAATAAAAATATTTTATATGCTGGTTTTATTTAATTTTTGCAAATATTTTTTGCAAACCTCTGAAAAACGTAAGTCCATCTGCACAACAGATAAAAATTTGTACAACAGATTTTGTTATTCAGATTTGTCCAAACTTGTAATGAAAGGTCTGTGTCCTGTTGTCAAAAGTTGCCCAAAAATAATTAGAGCGCCTCTCTGATGCATGACCTGAAAGCCCCATGTTTTAGCTGCTTTTCCAGCTTCTAAGATCTTTGGGATGTTTGCACTGCCCCCTTGATTACAGAAGTATTTAAGAAGCAATGATATTATGAGGTGACACTATTTCAAAACAATTATGATCCCCTATAAAGTGCAAGTAAATTATTATTAAAAAAACCCACTCACAACTAGTACCAGCAGAAACATTGTTTATCCTGTTTCCTACAAAAGCCGAGCTATAAAGCCACCTAAAGACCCAGTTAAAGAAGGTATGGAAGGCCAAATGAAAATTAGGCATCCTCATTCAAATCCTCAATTGTTTCCCACAGCATTTTCCACCATCCTGAACCATGGCTGGCTTTGAGTTCGATGTCCTGTAGAAATGAGGGCTTTTGCCGGTTTAGGCTGTATATTCTAATTTTTACCAGATGTTGTGAACTGCTTTAACTTGGTGGCCAAGGAGTGACTTCCTGGGCAGGAAAGAGTAGGATCAGCATGTTGGAAGCTAGCTTTAGGTGGTGCTGTGCCCAGGTGAAGTGCTGAGCCACCCTCAGCTCCTGGTCTGTCAAAGGACAGCACATTCAGCCTCTGGAAACTGTCACCCTATTTGCAGTTTATTACATGTCATAGAATCCCAGAATGGTCTGGGTTGAAGGGACCTTCAAGAGAATTTTGTTTCACCCCCTGCCATGGGCAGGGACACCTTCCACTATCCTAGGGTGCTCCAAGCCCTGTCCAGCCTGGCCTTGGATACTGCCAGGGATGCAGGGGCAACCTCAGCTCCTTTGGGCACTCTGTGCCAGGGCCTGCCCATCCTCACACCCTTTCATTACCAATGTAATGAAAATTGCAGATTTAACTTTCCAGTGTGCCCTGAAGCACACCCAGCCCTCATTCATTCCCAGTGACATTCTCACAGTTCCTTGAACCTGTCGCTCAGGCATTTAACTGTAAAAGCCACACATTCTTTTCCTTGTCTAATTCAAACTTCCCTGTCTGATACCAATATGCTTTGCCCAGATAAAAGGTGACATTCAGGTGATGCCTGTTGTTCCAGCTGAGGACTGTGTTCGCTGGGTGCTGTCACCTGGTGCTGCCAGAAACCAGGACTGAAACCTCACTTTGGTCTCCAGCAGCAGCACAGATTTGTTCCCATCTCTGGTGTTCTGACAGAGGGCCTGAAAGGTGATATATAGTATAGTATAGTCTTCAGATGAAATTCCTAGAGGCAAACCAATTCTTATAGCTGTGGAAATAACAGAGCT